GGCGGCCCGACTGGTAAGGTTAGATATGTCTATTGGATGACGCTGCCAGGATTGGTGCAGAGGCGAGCAGGTGACAAACACCCACACATGGTTCAAGATTGATTCCTGTTACCCACGTCTACCCAAGCCAAACAAGCTTTCCATTCCTTCAGGGTCTCGTGAATTGTTTTCGGACTCGTCTAGTGAACAAAAACATCGAATTGTAGATCGGCTAAGCAACACAGGTCATTTGTATAGGCCACGTACACATTCAAATTCCACTACGATTCGGAATGGATTTCAAGTGCGTGTGCGCATCCCACAGACGGGATTGATTAGCGCCCCAGATTTGATCCATTTGTCTTGACTAGAAAAATATGATTAAGAATATAGGTGACGAAGAGATGGAGCAAGAATGAGACAGTATGCATAAATAAGGTGATCGATTCATTTGTTTTCGATTATTCAAAGTAAATCGCCCAAAACAGATATCAAAAGCTGATTGGAACACCTCTAACTGAGAAAAATTGCGTACGCACTAGATCTGTAATGAATGAGCAATTATGTTCTCCTATTTCCGCTCACATTTTATTACAGGAATTAATGAGAAATAATTATTGAGGTAACCACACCTACATGTTGATAACTTCAACATCATCAACTTTTCTTCTCAAGGATAAATGTCATTTACATCAAATGATGGAATACGGTGCTGTCCTTTTCCGAAGGGAAATCACCGCATCATTTTCCGAGCGGAGAATGGGGGGGGGGGGGGGGGGGGGGGGCNCGTCTCTCCATTGGACATGAAGTTTTTTGGGATTGATCAATCCTATCTAGAGGATGCGCCCCGCACTCGATCACCATCCAGAATCGTAGTGGCGTCTTGAATGCGTATCTGGTCTATACAATGACTTGCGGTGGCAAGCCGATGAACATGTCAACGCTTTTCTCCTCCCAAACGAATCTGTCAATCGACCTCGGACAGGTACAAGGCTTGGTCGGCGTGGGCGAATATCGATCCGGGATTTCAATCGTGTTTTCGTCCATGCCTGAAACTTTACTGAGACGAGAAACTTTGGATAAACGTTTTGAGTTAGGCATCTCAAGCATATAATAGATCAGTGGGTACAATAAATGCCTAAGTGAGCCGCTCCTGTAAAGAAGACCTACTATACTTCTTTTACCCACAGCTAGCTTCATTAATGAAAGATTCTCCTCTAGCAGTGCACGTAATTCTTAGGATATTGTATAATAGATTCAGTAGGTACAATGAGAGGAGTATTCAGATGTTGAGCAAATGCACAGTAGAAAAAAACAGTAGAAAAAATAGTTACATGAAGTAGAAGGCGGAAAGTTGAAGAGCACCAGATAGTGGCCCGTGACGCCTTTCTTTCTAACCCCCTCTATAAAATGTAAAGCCCCCTGTTAATACACAAGAATGAGGATTAGAAATCATAATAGTAGTAAAAAAGTAAACAGAAGGGAAAGCACGCTATATCCCCGAGGTCATGTGAAAGCGCGTGCGGACACCCAATAATTTTCATTCCTGTAGCGTATTCCCCTACCATCAAAGGAAATAATGGCTTGAGTTTGGAGTTCCGTAGTGATTTCCAAGTTTTCAGCCACTCACGCTCTTCACTACCGGAATGCCTTGCATCCTTAACAAAACGCCACATATTCCAAGCGGAGAAGGATGTAGCACAGACAGTTGATGGATTGACTATTTTCTCAAGTTGCTTTAAATCTCGTATGACGATGGATGAGTTCAATCAAGAGGTAATGAATGGTCGGAATACAGGTGAAAGCCAACTCGAAAGCTCTATTCCACAATCTTCTTTCCGGATCATGACGAGCAGAGGTAGAAGGAAGTAAGAGAAAATGTTTTTGGTCGTTCAGATGTTTCACGATTGTGGCCGTGATGTCAAGAAACGTGTCATTTCAGTTGGTCCGTGCTGTTGTTATTGTAAAGCGAAAATCTCACCTGCATAATCACCTCTTACAAACACCTACTTTGAAGGGGAAACGTTTGATTCTTTGAAGGTAATGTCAAAAACAATCCCTGTTCCAATTGTTCACGTGTGGGCATTGGAAATCAAGGGTTTCTGTCCAGGTTCTTTTCATCGCTCTGCAGAAGCAGTGGCTGACTAGATTCATAGCTCAAATTCTTCCAAAACATTTAGAATCCTTCAAAAGCACGTGTCAACTATAGATAGGGTTCCATACTAGCAAATATGTAGCAAAATTCTCGACTGTGAACAGACGTATGAACGTGCGGACCTCCCCATTCTGCAGACAAATTACTAGCATGTTAAAGAAACTCATCAACTACATAGGCAAGCACCATGGGAACTTAAACCATGGAGAAACTGAAAAAATGAAGGAATAGTAAAAATTCGACGTAGTAGGAGCATTATGAGCTTCCAAAGTCGAGAAATCAACACAATGCACCAACTCATGGCATATTCACGATACCGCTGTCGCCCGCCTATCAGTCATTAGCCAACACGAAGTATGAATGCAGCAATTAGCACCTAGTCTGTTTCTATGTATTCAAAAACTACCGTGCTCTTGAAAACATTTAGTCCCTGACTTTTCCCCATAATTTGATGCATAATAAAAGTAGCTTCGGAGAACTCGATGTTTACTGAAAGTGGGACTACGTGGTGTTGACCGATTTTTTTTTCTGTTTTTCGGTTTTTAAAGCTTCACGTTAGGCTAAAGTTACTTTTTAGGACCTCATAGAAGGTGATCAAAAAATATGAAGATCACTCTACCTCTACTAGCTTAAACTTTTGAACAGGTTGAAAGACTTCTTTGAAGGTCCACGGTTTCTTCCAACCCAATATCGCTGGGAATGCGGAAGTAGTTCTACCTTTTTTACTCCTACTTCAGTGAACGTTCACTTAAATTTTTCTGCCTACAAGTGAGAACTGGGAGCTTTCGCTTTTGGAGCATTATTAAAACAGGCGTGTTCATAGGAGATAGTCACGTCACGTCACGCTTCGATTAGTTCTTCCTGTTCCTTATCGCGTGTGAATCAATCGAAAGCTTCTATGTAAGCGTTTTGAGGTTCGTACGAGCCATCATGTCCAATGGAGCAACTGGTAGATATATTACATCAGTATCCTCCAGGATTTTACTTTTTTGTTGGCTTGATCTGATCTGACTTTGGTAGCTTTCCTGAAGACACGATTTTTAACACCCTGAAACTGGTGTACCGCCTCACATCTTGAGCGCTGTGCTCGAAAGTTGAAAGAGGAAACTCTTTCACTTCCCCATCTGGGAAATATGAGCATTCTCTAGTTGGGTGCTCACCAAGCGGGATGCAGTCATTATCCTCACGAATAAGCAAGCAAAAAATAACTAACCAGGGAGGGGTAG